AGGATTGATTCCAAAACCTTGGTGCATCAGGATGACGCTCTAACCAACTGAGTTACTGGCCTGGGCTATGGGAAAACTTTTAACTACTGATTAAATGTCTGTAATAATTGCAGAACCATTCAGGCCTTCTTTTTCTTCTTGAGTCAAGTTAAATAGGTCAAAAATGTCCAGGAATTTATATTTCACATACGTTTTCAATTCATAATATTTTCTTTTCCTTTTAATACCTCCTGTTGGCCTGTTTGTGCAGTTATATCTGTCTTCTATTCTGTTATTCTTTATTTGTGCTTTCCCCTTTTTTCTTAATCAATCTCACTGAAGATTTGGTTATTATATGTATTAAAAACCTTTTTTTTCAGGGTTTGCTCTTGGTTGTAATTTCGTGTTCCTTTTTATTAATGTGTATTCATGTCTTTATCATGTCTGTCCTGTTTCTTTAGTGAGTTTATTCTCTGTTCTTGTCCTAACTGCTAACTGGACAGTCAGCTTATTTTCAATGTTATAATTTTAAACACAAGTGTTCAGGCTATGAGTTTTTCTCATATGTAAGTAGATAAGAGTATATATTTTTCACCTTTGCAACATCCCACAAGTTATGATACGAAGAGATTTATCATTGTTCAGTTCTGAGCATTTAAAAATATCTGTTATGATTTTGTTAATCTTTAATATCCAAAAATATATTTAAAATTTTTATATTTGATTTTGGCTTCTGATCTCATTGCACTGTGATAAGAGGACATACTGTGTACGGCACCTTTCAGGGCCTCCTCTGCCTTCAGAGCACACCCACTCTCCCAGCGCTGTTTCTGTGCCTCTGTTACCCGCTCCATCGACCTTTGAACCACAGCGCCTGCTGCCCCCTTTCACGCACCCCCAGTCCATCCTGAGCTTCTCTAACCTCTCCCGCCCCTTCCTCTGTTGGCCCCTCCCTCTGTTGGCCCCTCTGATGAGCATGTCCGTCATGTTCTGACTTATCCTTCCTGCAAAGTCTGGCTCAAATGCTGACCCTTCCATTTGCCTCCTCAGCTACACATGCTCTCTCCCCTAGACATGCACACACACACACACACACACACGGCACAGACACACACACACACACACACAAACACACACACACACACACACACACACACACACACACACACACGGCACACAGAGAATCCTGGACCATTTCCTCCTGGATCCGGTTGTCACGTAGATGGTGAAGGATGGGAGGGGAGTCCTAGTTGATTTGGCTCAGTGGATAGAGCTTGGGCCTTCAGAATGAAAGGTCCCGGGTTTGATTCAATTCAAGGACACACGCCTGGGTTGCGGGCTTGATCCCCAGGGGCTGTGCGTGCAGAAGGCAGCTGATAGATGATTCTTTCTCATCATTGATGTCCCCTCCCCCTCTCTGTTCCGCTCTCCCTTCCTCTCTGAAATCAATAAAAATGTACTTAAAAAACAAGAAAGGATGGGAGGGGAGTGGCTTCCTGTGCTTCTCAGAAGTGGCCCAGAGGCTTGGTTTTATTTTTTTTTTAATTTTTAAAATATATTTTATTGATTTTTTACAGAGAGGTAGAGAGAGGGATAGAGAGCGAGAAACATCGACGAAAGAGAATCATCGATCAGCTGCCTCTTGCACACCCCCTACTGGTACGAGGCTGTTTTAATGCGGCTGCAGACAGCGGTGCCTTCCGTAAAGCGGGAAACCCAGGCGTGAGTCTCCCCACCGAGTCCCTGCTGCTCTTCCCCCCCTCCCCCCGGGGTGGGGGGGGGCTGGTCTGCCTCGGGCCTGTGGTGCCGCGAGCACCAGGTCTGCAAATGGAGCCTCCCTCCGGGCTTGTCCCGCTCTGCACTGCCTGCGTGTGCACGGGGCTGGCACACACCTGGTACCCAGGACCGGAGCCCTATCAGCCACTCTCATCTCAGCGGCAGGAGGTGATCACATCGTCCTGGAAGGAATGTTTGCTGGGCGGAGGCAGCAGCCAAAGGGGACCGTGCCCGGGGAGTGTAGGAGAGAGGACACCACCCCGGATGAGAGGGGCGGGAGGGGGGGGGGCACCCTCCCCAGGGCTCCGGTGCAGGCAGCCCTGCTCAGCGGGAGGTGCGGGTCCTCGGGGAGAGAAGGGCCTTGCCGGGCACCAGGCCTTCGCCAGGCCTTCCAGAGGCTTGCCCAGGGGCAGCCCGCTGAGCGCGGGTGGCTGGCGGGACCTGCCCCGGGCACAGGGCACAGCGGCTGGTGCCACGTCCGGAGACTCACCCATCCCCGCAGGGCCCGCTCTCCGGAGGGGGGGCGGCCCGGCCAGCGCAGGCTGGAGGGCGGCCAGGCATGTGTTTTCCCAGCACCATGCCTGGGCCAACTCCTAAACCTGCCAACTGCAACGTGAAGACTGTACATTTCTGAGGTTTGTCCCGCCCTGATTTATTAGCCTCCTGCCCACTCTGGGCTCTCAACGTCCGCAGCATCGGCGGGAACGCACCCTGATGTTTGCCTGCAGCAGTAGGTACACTCACGGCTAAAAACCTTCCTGGGGGGAAAGAAAGTGAGAGAAAGGATAGGCACCATTTAGACCCATTCCCACCAACGTCTTGGTAAAAAATTACTTAAAAATTATGTTTTTATTGATTTTAGAGAGGAAGGGAAGGAAGGAGGGAAAGAGAGAGAGAGAAATATCAATGATGAGAGAAAATCACTGACTGGCTGCCTCTTGGATTTGTCATTCTGCAGATCGGGATTGAGCCCTCAGCCTGGGCCTGTGCTCGGAGCAGGAACTGAACCGGGACCTCCTGGTCCATAGGTCAACACTCATCTTCTGAGCCTCACAGGCCAGGCCAGGGCCTGACGACCTTGGCCATCTGGACTGTAATTTTGTTTGTTTTCCTCTCACTTTGATCGTGAGCTCTTTGAGGAAGCGCTGCCTGAGTCTCAGCCCCCGTGTATCCGTAGGCCCTAACACATCACATGACACAAAACGGGTGTCCTGTCAGGTCGCATCAAGGAGAGATCAGTGAGTGATTCCTCACGGAGGCTCAAGCCCCTCGCCCATGGACAAGCGGTGGGCGGTGGAACCGGGACACGTGGCTGCTTCCCTGCAGGGTGTGTCTCCGGCCGGAGCCCCGGACAGGGGGCCGGCACGCACGCCTGTGGCTCCCACATCACAGCCACCGAAGCCGCCTCAGCCGCGACCTCACAACGCACATGTGGGCTGGGCACCTGACACCCGCCTCCTCCGGCCTCGCTGATTCCCGGGTGTTGGCACGGGAGGACTTGCCGTGGCACTGCCTCGCGGCGGGACAAGTCCGGACGTCTGTGCAGAGGAAGCTGGTTGCCGCAATGAAAGATTTATGGCCTTTTTTTCTTTTCTTGAGAAGCATCATTTCTTTCCCACACCTTCCAAACCCCGAGAAGATGAGTGATGTGACACCGAGGTCTTGTGCCACTGTTTGCTGAGGATCCCTCGCTCACCACGTGGATGCTGAGGAGGTGCCTGGGATAGGTGGACCCCGGACTCCGGGCCTGTGACATGTATTCGGGCTCTCAACCCGGGGGCCGCCATCGGGCACCTGGTGGGGAATGCTCCGGTGCCACGGTGCCTGGGAATGGGCGTGCACTTGGCGTCAGATGGCTCCCACTGGACTCTCACCCTCAGCAGCCCCGACCGGGGTGTGTGTGTGTGTGTGTGTATGTGTGTGTGTGTGTGTGTGTGTGTGTGTGTGTGTGTGTGGAAGAGCCACACAACCTCTCGGGGCCTCGGTTCTCTCTGTCAAATCAGGCGGTGCCTCCGAGGGCACCGCGGGGACCAGAGCAAAGTGGGCGCGGTGCGAGACAAGTGTAACCCACATTCTTTTATTTGGTGGCTGGTGAGCAGCTATCCCGGTCTTCCTTCCCCCCTGTCAAGGCGAAGTCTCCCGTCTTCCTCTGTTCTCCTCGCCCCTCTGCTCATGGGCTCCCAGCGACCGTTTCCTCCAGATGTGAGTGAATGATCCCCGTCACTCAGGCACCGGGGCGCTCCGCTCATCCGCTCGCCCCGGACTTTTACAGGCTGAGTGCTCGTCACCCCTGGGGAGTCTGTCACTGCCCCCCCCCCGCACACACGCGTTCAAATGCCCGACCTGAAGAGCACAGGGCAGAGGACTCGGTGGCGATGCTCTGGGCCGGCGCTCCGCTGGGCTCGGAGGCGGCTGTGCTGTGCGTCTCAGAGGAGCGGCTGCGTGTCTCCCGCCGCAGGGCGCTGAGCGTTGGCCGCTCTGCGGGATGGCCGTCTGCTCCCCTGCGGGCTGACCCCTGCGGGCTCCCCTGCGGGCTGCCCCCTGCAGGCCGTCCCCTTCGGGCTCCCCTGCGGGCTGACCCCTGCGGGCTCCCCTGCGGGCCGTCAGCTCCGCGGACAGGGGCAGGTCTGCGAGGAGCTGGCAGCGGCGGCCAGGACAGCGCGGCGCCAGAGGCGGCCCGCGGGCGCAGGTCCTCGCGGCCTCCAGGGGGCGCCGCGGTCCACGCGGAGGCCGGGCTGCGAGGCGGGCCGGCGGCCGGCAGGGGGTCCCGGAGCGGGAGCGGGGGAAGCGAGGCCGGGCCGCGCACCGGGCTCCCGCGCACGGACCCGCACACCTGAGGGTGCGCCCTCGGGGCGGGCCGGCGGGCCGGGTGCGGAGCGGGAGCCGGGGGACCGGGGGTTCCTGAGGGGCAGGGCCGGGGGCCGGGGGCGCCACGGGACCAGGCCGGTTCCCAGCAGGAACGGGAGCGATGGCCGGAGCCTCCTCGCCACGTCGTCCCGCTCAGCAGCCCGGGTCAGAGCCGCCGGCGGGATCGGCCGCCGCACCGGCCGCCGCCGCCACCCCGCCCGCCGCCGGCAGGGGGCGCCGCGCGGCTAAAAGGCGCGGCGGGCGGCGGCGGGCGCAGAGCGGAGCGGAGCGGCGCGGGACGCGGCGGGACGGCGGGCAGAGCGCACCGCACCGCACCGCACCCTGCCGACCGGCGGCCCGGCGCCTCCGCAGCCTCCGCCGCCGCCGCCGCCGCCCCGATGGCGCCGGGGGCCGGGGCGCCCTGGGCGGCGCTGCTGCTGCTGCTGGCGGCGCTGGCGCCCGCGCTCTCGGCCGCGGCTGCAGGTACGCGCCCGGGCTGCCCGGCCCTCCCGGCCGCGCCGCGCCTTCGGCCGCGGGTGTCTGACCGGCTCCCCGCTCGCGGGCCGGGGCCGGGGCGGGCGCGGATGGGGACCCGAGTCCCGCGCGCAGGAGGGGGGCCGGCGGCCCAGGCTCATCCCGGACCCGACGGCTCCGCGCCCGGGGGCCGGGGGCCGGGGGCCCGGAGCCGGGGGCCGGGGGCCGGGGGCCGGGGGTCGGGGGCCGGGAGCCTGGAGCCGGGGGCCGGGAGCCGGGGGCCGGGGGCCGGGGGCCGGGGGCCGGGAGCCGGGGGCCGGGAGCTGGGGGCCGGGGGCCGGGGGCCGGGAGCCCGGAGCCGGGGGCCGGGGGCCGGGAGCCCGGAGCCGGGGGCCGGGAGCCGGGAGCCGGGGGCCGGGGGCCGGGGGCCGGGGGCCGGGAGAGGCGGCGAACGGGGCGCGGGAAGGGCCGCTTGTTGGAGGCGAGCGCTGCCGTGCTTGGCCACCTGCCCGGGCGGGTGCCGCTGGGCGGGGGCAGCACCGGCCGCCCGGGCGCGCGGGGCAGGCGCGGGCTGCGGGGCGGAGGTACCGGGCGCCCGGGGAAGCCGCGCTCCGGCGGGAACCCAGAGCTGCGGGCCGGTCTGAGCGCAGGAGGGGCAGGGCCAGCGGTGCCGGAGGGGCCGGGGCCGGGGCGGGGGCCGGGCCGGGGCGGGGGCCGGGGCCGGGGCCGGGGCCGGGGCGGGGGCCCGGGGCCGGGGCCGGGGCCGGGGCGGGGGCCGGGGCCGGGGCGGGGGCCGGGGCGGGGGCCGGGGCCGGGGCGGGTGGAGCTGTCTCCTCTGGGGACTGACCTGTGGGCAGCGCTTCCAGCGGAGGCAGCGGTGCTGCCCGCACCCCCGGAGGGACCGGTCCGCGGTGGGTGCTCTGGGCTTGGTCCCCGCCTTTGGGGGCCGTGCTCCCCTCCCTGTGCGGCCTTTCCGCGCCCGGACCCCTGGGTGCCCTGGTCTGCGGGAGCCCACGGAGCCCACTTTTGTCCCTGCCGCTCCCTCCAGCGGGTGTGAAAAGCAGGCGCCAGCCGGCTCCTCTGCAAAGGCTGCCGCCCAGGGCCGCTGGCCTCCCGCTCCGGCGGCGGGGCTGTTGGGGTCACACGGGCTCGATCCTCTGCGGAGGGGCACCCGCCAGGCTGGCCGCCGGGTGCGCCAGGGGCAGGGGTGCCAGAGGCCACTTTTCTCCTGAAGGACAGTCGTCGTCCTTGTGGCTGTCCATCTCCGGGAGGGCAGTGGCCTAACAATAAAACCAAAGCCTCTCGCCTTCTCCACCGACGGCCCACGCCTTCTCCCTCCGAAAGGACCCTTTTCTGGAGGCTGAAAGAGTTTTTGTCTCAGGAGGCCGGCTGCAAGGGAACTGATGCCAGGCTGGCTTCGAGATGGTTCCAGCTTTGTGCCTGTTAGATTCCACTGCCACCTGCCCAGGGCGCTGCCCGGGGGCGGGGGTATCTGGGGGGGGGGGGGCGGTCCGGGCGTCTCCTCCCCGGCCTTGGGCTCTGCCGGCTGCGCTGAGCAATGCGGGCCGGAGGAGCCCTGGCTGGCACGCCTCTCCCGTGTGTTGGTGTGGAGTTTGCAGTAAAAGGATGACCAGACGGGGCGTGGACAGGGGGACAAGCACAGTCTGAAGTAGGTGTTTCCCATTTACAAGGAGGATGGAAGGAAGGAAGGAAGGAAGGGAGAGAGGGAGGGAGGAAGAGAGGAAGAGAGGGAGGAAGAGAGGGAGGAAGAGAGGGAAGGAGGGAGGGAGAGAGGGAAAGAGGGAAGGAGAGAGGGAAGGAGAGAGGGAGAGAGGGAAGGAGGGAGGGAGAGAGGGAAGGAGGGAGGGAGAGAGGGAAGGAGGGAGGAAGAGAAGGAGGGAGGGAGAGAGGGAAGGAGGGAGGGAGAGAGGGAGGGAGGGAGGGAGAGAGGGAGGGAGAGAGGGAAGGAGAGAGGAAGAGAAGGAAGAAGGGAGAGAGGGAAGGAGGGAGGGAGAGAGGGAAGGAGGGAGGAAGAGAAGGAAGGAGGGAGAGAGGGAAGGAGGAAGGGAGAAAGAGAGGGAAGGAGGGAGGGAGGGAGAGAGGGAAGGAGGGAGGGAGAGAGGGAGGGAGAGAGGGAAGGAGGGAGGAAGAGAAGGAAGAAGGGAGGGAAGGAGGGAGGAAGAGAAGGAAGGAGGGAGAGAGGGAAGGAGGGAGGGAGAGAAGGAAGGAGGGAGGGAGAGAGGGAAGGAGGGAGGAAGAGAAGGAAGGAGGGAGAGAGGGAAGGAGGAAGGGAGAAAGAGAGGGAAGGAGGGAGGGAGGGAGAGAGGGAAGGAGGGAGGGAGAGAGGAAGGGAGAGAGGGAAGGAGGGAGGAAGAGAAGGAAGGAGGGAGAGAGGGAAGGAGGGAGGGAGAGAGGGAAGGAGGGAGGAAGAGAAGGAAGGAGGGAGAGAGGGAAGGAGGGAGGGAGAGAGGGAAGGAGGGAGGGAGAGAGGGAAGGAGGGAGGGAGAGAGGGAAGGAGGGAGAGAGGGAAGGAGGGAGGGAGAAAGAGAGGGAAGGAGGGAGGGAGGGAGAGAGGGAAGGAGGGAGGGAGAGAGGGAAGGAGGGAGGAAGAGAAGGAAGGAGGGAGAGAGGGAAGGAGGGAGGAAGAGAAGGAAGGAGGGAGAGAGGGAAGGAGGGAGGGAGAGAGGGAAGGAGGGAGGGAGAGAGGGAAGGAGGGAGGGAGAGAGGGAAGGAGGGAGAGAGGGAAGGAAGGAGGGAGAGAGGGAAGGAGGGAGGGAGAGAGGGAAGGAGGGAGGAAGAGAAGGAAGGAGGGAGAGAGGGAAGGAGGGGCAGACGTGCCCGTGGCCAGCTCTCTGGGAAAGAGATCAGGGGGCACGTAATGTGTTTCATCTGGGCTCTGGACGGCGTCCTGTCTGTCTGCTGAGCCTGACAGTGAGGCCGGGCCAGTGTGCCCTCTCTGGCTGAATCAGTGCCTGCGCCGCGAGCTGCCGGAGCCAGGCTCCCCGCCCCCCAAATCCTTCGGGGAAGGGCTCCCTCCAATGGTGGCAGACCCACAGCTCCGAGGGGCGTCCCCGAGGACAGAGGCGGTTTGCAGGGCGCGCTGAGGGTCTAAGTGAGCCCTTCACTTGGTGGTCAATTAAAACATAAAACAAGCAGCGATCACCCCTCTGCTCCCCCCACATGCATGCACACATGCCACACTGGTGCTTGCCAGGAGACCTTTTTCTGCAAACATGGATACACACACGCACATACATTTGCAGTGGTTTTCTTAGGGTAGCTGTGGGTGATTTCAATTTTCCCTTTAAAGCTTAAAGAGCCTTTCCGGGAACCCGCTTTCCCTGTGATGTCGAGGCCCGCCTGCCTGTCCCGCTGCATTGGGCCTGCCGGGAAGGCACAGGCACGGGCTCGGTGCGTAAAACCACGGGCGCGTTAGGCGAATCCAGGTCTTGGCACCGTAACGAACTAGTAGCCACTGCATGCTCAGCCTCTGAAGTGAAGGAAAGACTCGCCAGTTGTAGTTAAGAATGTCCTCGGTGCAATAGTAAAAACTGTGAATTTGGCCCAATCCCTGCCCTTGCTATTCTGTGTGAGGAGATGGGAACCCCCGGACAGCACCTGCCCGTGGTGTGAGCTGTGGTTGGACGTAGCTGCTCCCCCAAAACATCACCCTCCCCAGAAAGAGCGACCGCAGACGGTCCCGCGTCTGTGCCTGAGGGGCTGGCAGACAGCGCTCAGAGGGAGTGAGGGCCGGCCTCCGCAGGGACGTGACTGCTGGAGGTCCTGCATTCGAGCTTTCCAGAGGAAGTTAGAGTTTTGCCATCTCCAACTTCATTCATTTAGGAGCTTTTATACTTAACACCTTTTCTAGCAAGTTCCGTGGCGGTATCAATGGGTGTGAGATTGAAATGCTGTTACAAAGCATGCCGGCTTGTAGCTGATCTGCACAGCCAGGTGAACCTGCAGGTCCAAGTGACGGATGCGAGGTGTTACCCAGCCTGCCGGTCTGAACAGCCCACCCCGAACCCAGGACTTCTAAGGGGCCAAATGGAAGCATTTTCTTTTATGGTTGCAGAGCCCACATGGCAACTGGCCTTGAAGACACTTCTACTTGATGGGTTTTGGGGTTGTAGCAAAGGTTTTTCCAGAATGATCCATGAGGCGGCTACAGTGCTTTTTCCAACTCCATATCTCTGTGAGGCTAGATTTTTTTTTTTTCAGGTGCTTCCACTAATCAGCTGCAGTAGACCGGAGGGATAGTGGACAGAGGGCCTGCCACCTTCTATTAGAGATTTGCCAAAATGCACAATCTCTTCTCACTATCTCTTTTTGGTTTAGAAAGCAGTTATTATTATTATTTTTTCCATAAAATAGTTGTTCTCTGCAAAAAGCTTTATTGTTTCATTTGGCCCAATGCCTGGGAGAGGGCTCCGGGGTGGTTAAAAGAATGGCCAGTGGTTTCGGGGAGAGGCTGAGGCTAAAGCCAGACCCCAGGGGATGCAGAGGGGCCCACCAAGGCCTCTGGGCTCCCCAGGCTCCCCTCCCTCTGGAAGGGCTCCTCGCCCAGCCCAGCCTGGGGCCGCAGCCTGCGGAGGGGAGTCAGGTGCTGCCCATCTCCTTGATGAGCTTCACCTCCTCACCCGGAAGTGGTTCTCCAGGAAGCCCCAGAGCTGAGGGCCTGCAGCTCCCAAAGGGCCTGGGTCAGGCTCCTCTCCAAGGCCAGGGCCGTCTCCATGGCGCCCTGAGTTCTGCCCACTCATCTCGGGAGGTGTCAGCGCGTCGTGGAAGAGAACTCTGCCACCTGTGGTTTTGCATCTCATGAGACCCGGTCCCCCTTGCTGGGAAGAAGGGGCCCTGCCCTCGAGATCCACAGCACCCTGGGGTGGAAGGGGGGAGCTCTCCTGCGGCCAGCCTGCCTCTGGCTCTGCAGCGGCCCCTCCTCCCTCTGCTCTCTTCTCTCGAGAGGAGGGGGAGCACGCCTTCCCTGGCACCTGTGCCTGGAGCCCACG